GGAATGTCTGCAGAAAAAGATATTTCTCTCACATCTGGAAGGTTAGTTACATAGAGAAAAGTCATAAAATGTGTGCTAGGATGGCTAAGAAACAATGACCCATTAGAGAATGCCACTACTTCTGTCTAGTGCTGTTTCTTCAGTAGAGTTTGAAGCACATGCTATTTGATAATTATGTGCAGTTGGTGATGAAGGACATGGATATTAAGATTCAAGAGGAGCATCTTTAAGGGGAAGTTTAATAAATACTTTAATATGTTCTCTGTTTATATTTTTAAAATCTCTGATATATGGACTCTTCAAAAATATTAATTTGGGGTTCTGTAGAGCCTGAAAAATAAATAACAGAGGCTAGAGGCCAACATAATCTAATTTTTATTAATTTCCATTTATCCCTGTTTGATTAATTGGGTTTATGGGAGCCTCCACTCTTTCAGTTTTTTCTTATTCTGGCCTATGACAATTCTCTGATTTCATCTGCTATCCATTCAGGCCTAATTACAAAGTCTAAGTTTTAAAATTTATGTCTATCTATCTATCTATCTATCTATATACATATGAGCAAAAGAAAAATCACACAACAGTAAGTATCAGAGGAAAGATTCAAAACTGTGCTCCTGTCACCAAGGCCTTAGTAAAGGCTTTTACTATTGCTGCTCTACTTCCTTCCTGAATGCTACAATATATTAAAATATATATATAAAGATAATAAATTAGTGTTTTTTAATCTTCTACATAGAGAAGAAGAAAACATCTGACACAGAGTTGGAAATAATACGCAGATTTTGTGTAAAAAAAAAGATATGGCTTATGTCCTGCTTTAAATGAATGCTTTATTAAAATTTTGCACTGATTAATAAAGATGTTCCCATACAAATATGTATTAATATTCTTTACCTGGAAATTTGATAATAGTATAAAATGAAGGCATTCAATCATAGAAAAAGGTCATTGATTTAGTAATTGATTATGAAAAATGGAAAGAATAATATTCTTAGTAACATTTAAACGTGTTAAAATATCAAACAGAAAGAAATACTGGAGTACTATACAATATATACTGGTGAAATATAGTAAAATAATTGGATATTATCAAATGTGATTCATAAAAAGCCAGGCAAATTAGTCAGATTATTTGCTTTGATGGAAGACACAATTTTCTTTCATCTTTCAGTTTGTTTCTCTCTGTTCAATCCAACAAAACTAACTATCTTTTCATTGTGTGTTGTGCACACATCCAGGTGTTAAAACAAGTTTGGAATTCTTGAGTATAAGTTTCTAGCTATGATCTAATTTTTGAAAAAAGAGCACTTAAAGTCCCATTTTATACTTTATTGTAGAATTCAGTTTTGGTGATTAATCTTGTTAATATCATTGCTATTACTATGAGTAACACTTTGTAATATTTCCTCATAATCCTATTTGCTATTAACAATTGGAAATGATGTGAGTCAATAACTCCTTTATATTGTTTATGTGTTCACATTTCTAAAAATGCCATGTCAAGAAAAAAATCGTAACAAAGAAATGCATGTGGGGACAGCTGTTTTTCAAGAGAGATGTTGGAAACTCTTTCTTTGTCATGTAAAATTACGTTAGAAAATGCTTTAAGGAATAAATATGGAAAATTAAAGTATCTGAATAAATTGAAAGCCAAAAGGACAAACCCAAATGTCTTCCCATTTTTAAAATTTATGGCATCTTTTAAATAGTTCACTGTATGTTATTTACATTAATTTTAAGTAGTTTAACATTATGTATGAAAGCTGCTATTTGAGAGCTTATCTTATAGATGAAAACAATCAGAACACTGGAAATACCTGTTGTGGAATGTCCCTGTGAAGCTCTTGTATTAGGTAATGAAACAATGTTCTGAACTGAGAGGACTGGATCCTGAGCGTTCTGACCTCATCAATGGATTGATCCATTTGATGGATTACTAATTTGAATGGACAACTGGTAGCTGATAAAAATTATAGGCATGTGGGGCATAACTGGAGGAGGCGAGTCACTGGGGCATGGCTTGAGGACTATATCTCTCCCTTTGTCTCTCAGATGCCTTGCTGCCATGGGTTGAACAGCTTTCTTCTGTCATGATATTTCTGCCTTTGAGTCAGGTAACTAGGAATAAATCTTTCCTGCTCTACGTTGTTCTTTTCAGGCATTTTGGTCACAGTGATGAAAAACTGACTAACAGAGCACTTTTTACAAGGCCACCAGTTTTGTAAAAATATGTCATATAAGTTTACAACTACATCAATAACATGAAATAAGCAGACGAAATTTACCCAAATTTATTACTTTGTAATAACATAGACCAATAATCTGAATCTATCAATCCTAAAACTTTAGTCATTTTTTTTCCTGTCAAATTATATTTCTGGAATCATCTAGAAAATTATCTTAGCCTTCTACCTTGTTTCAATAAATGCTAGTCAATGTATTTAGATGTGTTGTTTTTATTGTTGTTTTATCATAAACATTCTTACAAATATCCTTAGTAAATTTATGTATACCTTTTATGTACTTACTTGGTTCATTTTTTTTTTGAAAAATACTGAGATAGAATTACATATGAAAGGCATTTCTTTTGAATTGTTGGTCATAGGTATAAGTGAGAGAAAAGTCTCAGAAGATCCAAGTCTTACCCTATCTTTTCTGGAAGAACTTACTTTTACATATAATCTATATTATCCATGTCAGATTCTATGACTTTCTCACACTATTCTTATTTTACATATTCACTATCTTTAAGTATCTCTTATGTGTTTATTCACACACATATAAGTAGGAATTTATTTGCTTATTGGCAATTATTTCCATTATACTTTATGCTTCTTAAGGGTATGAATTTCTTTATATCTTATTCACATTTGTGTGCCAAGTGTTTTTTTTTCCCAAAGAATGGAATGTAAGGTAAGGAGTTTTGTAGGCCTTGCTTTCTACACTATCCCTGGAATATAGACTAGTGAATAGCATAATAATAAATATTTTTGTTGAATTGAAGAATATAGTAGGCTTTGGGTAAAAATTTCTTGAATATTACATAATCCCTATGATTCAGGATCTTATTTCTGTACAGTGTTTCTAGGTGCAGATGCACCCAGATTTTGGTTGTATTCAGATGATAGCAATATGTTTATTTTACAAAGCATAAGTAAAGCATGTCATTATCCTTTGGAAAACATAATATTCCCCCAATAGAAATTAAGCATTCAGGTATACTTAGACTTCCAACTCTGATAAACCCACATTAGCTGATTTTCCTCCTCTCTTTTAAAATTGAAGTACTCTAAGATTTCATCTCACTCCTGTTAGAATGACAATTATCAAGAATACAAGCAATAATAAGTGTTGGTGAGGAAGTGGGGAAAAAGGTATACTCATACATTGCTAGTAGTATTGCAAGTTGGTGCAACTACTCTGGAAAGCAATAAGGAGATACCTCAGAAAACTTGGAATGGAACCACCATTTGATCCAGCTATCCCACTCCTCGGTTTATACACAAAAGACATAAAATTAGCATATTACACTGATGCAGCCCCTTTCACAATAGCTAAACTGTGGAACCAACGTAGATGCCCTTTAAAAGATAAATAGATAAATAAAGTGGTACAAATACACAATAGATTATTATTCAGCATTAAAGAAGAATGAAATTATGGCATTTGCTGGTAAATGGATGGAACTAGAGAATATCATTCTAAGTGAAATAAGCCAATCCCCCAAATCCAAAGGCCAAATGTTTTCTCTGATATATGCATGCTAATCCATAGTGTTGATGGGGGGGGGTTAGGGAAGACTGAAGGAACTTTGGGTTGTGCAGAAGGATGTGAAGGGAGGGGAGGGGCTGTGGGGATGGGAAAAAGAGTAGAATGAGACAGACATTATTACCCTATGTCCATATATGATTGCACAAACAGTATGACTCTGCGTTGTTCAAGGTGTCAAAATGCATTCTACTGTCATGTATAACTAATTATAACAAATTTAAAAAAATTAAAAATAAAATTGAAGTTTTAAAACTGAGTTATTACTTTTTTCATAGGAAAAAAAAGCTGAAGAAAGATTCTCTTTTTGTTCATTGTAACATTATCTGTCATTATAACATAGGTCAGCTTGGTGATAACAGTTAAGTAAATCTAGCTTATCAATACAGCTGGTAAACCAAAGCTCCCAAGATTACTGAACATTTCATTTTAAGGAGGAAGCAAATAGTGTCATGGTCAGTCTTGCTCATCCTAAAGATGAGTTTATGTTCTTTTGTAAAGTAGGGCATTAAGGATTCAAAAATTCTAATTAGTTTTAGATAGCTTCATTTATGCTTTATAAAGGACATTTCCAGAAGAAGACAATGTTTTTTGGAGGGAAGTCTGAAATCTTTAATTTATTAATTAAGGTTAAGAAAACCAACTATATCCAACATACTCAACTTGTTGGTGAAAGACTACAGTTCAGAAGATATTATCTGTTTATTGTTCAACCTCCTTGAGAGGGAGGAGGTAGGGAAGAGTAAGCTGAGGCTCTTTCCAGATGAGAGTTTCCATGTAACCATTTGGTATTGTTTTGTATTCCCAGGAAGTTAATGACTTGGGATGGTAGACATACTTGTGACCATTCTCCTATTTGACAACTTGTTTTCTATGAAGAGGAAAGCTCAGTTATTTGGTAGTAATAGGAGGTTAACAACAACATATCCATCTATTTAAGGTCATATTTTGTACTAATTCAAGGGAAAAATTAGAAATCTCACCACCATAAAGCTAAAATTAACAATTTCTTAAGAACATTTCCATGTTATTAACAGTTATTGCTTCTTTGTACATAATTTGAAATTATAGAATTCAGTGGAAAAAGAATCAGACTATTTAGGGTTAGAAAATATATATACATATATATGTATGTATACATACATACATACACACACACACACACACACACACACACACACACATACTCACACACACTTCTTTCTTCCTGTTTTCCTTTTTTTTTCTCTACCTTTTAACTTCTCATTATCTCCCAGATTTTCTCTTTTCCAATTTACGACTTTAATGATTATTCTTCACTGTTGCTAACATATCTAAAGAGGAAAAAGATAAATAGGTGACAATGAGAATGGGGAAAATGGAAGAGGAGGGAGGAAAAAAACAAAATAAATTTCCAATAAATAACAGGATAATTGAGTGTGTTTCAATAAATCATGGGCTAGTTGCCTACCTAGTCCCACCTTCCCCTGAACCCCAAATTCACTCACATTCATGACTATTTTTTGAAGATAAAAAGAAAAATGCACACTGAATACACACCAAATCAAGTCATGTTGATCTTTTTCTCTCTTCATTTCTATAACCGATCTTGGCACCTTAATACAATGATGATAGCATGCAAATCTTTATACAATAACCTAGTTAGGTTTCCTACAATAAATAATTCCCGTTTCCATCACTTTTAAAGCATCATTACAAAGAGTAGAGCACAGCAATGTGGCCTTATGTTTCTTATTTTCCAGATCAATCTGTTTTTCTTAATTTTAATTTATAATCAGCACAGCTGAAGCTTCCTAATCATATCAGACATGCCAATCCTTTCAGAAGCAAATCTGATTTAACATCAAGGAGCCTGGCTTGTGTTCATGGGGGAGGAGTCCCCCCCCCCACCACCACTAATCTCCAGAAGTTTTTGGCTGTACTCAACACATTTACACATTTGAGATTCAAACCGGTTCCCCAATACTGGGTAGACAAAAATCTTTCTCTGGTGAGCAGAGAAGGCCCACTATCAAGCATAGAAGAGGGGGTGCCCAGGCGGATGACCTTGGAGTTTCTTGTCTGTATTTTGGTGAAAATGAAGAGAAAGGAAGACATAGAAAAGGAAATTGCTACTGAAAAACTCTGGAATGAATGCTGCTCTCAAGGTGGAGACGTATTCACTTTAAACTTTCCAAGAAAAGTATGGGAGGGAAAGAATATATGCTTAACTTCCTGTGTTGCTTTGCATCTCAGACCAGTTTAACCTAATAGACAAATACCTCAGATCCTATCTTAAGGGATACATAGTGTTCCAAGAAGGCACTTTATGGGTATTTTTGGCCTATGAAACAGATAGCGGATGAGCTTCCTTTGCTAGCTGCAAGCTGGAGCTTGTGTCAGGCTTCACTAGGCACACAAGGCTCTGATTTTGTATCATTAAAGACTCATTATCTCTTTTAACTTCTGTTGAAAGCATTCATCCATAGCTCTAGCTACTACTGAAACAATAGAGGCTCCTAGCACAGTAATAATGCTTTTTTTTTTTCTGCCAGCTTAAAGAGCCTTTAAAGGATGGATTGGCTTTCACAATGCAGAAACAAAAAGCTACTGCTCAGAAAAATATGAAAGGTTATTTCTGTAAGTAACTTCAATTTTAAAGAGAGGAGGAAAATTGTCTGATGTGAGTTTATCAGAGCTGGGAGTCTGAATATACCTGAATGTTCAATTCCTGTTGGGGAAATATTACATTTTCCAGAGGAGAATGGCATGCTTTACTTATGCTTAGCCTCAAAGAGAAAAATACTTTAATAAGAACGAAACAGGCTTGGTGTATTGATCTTACCAATTTGTTGGGTATTAATATATATTTGGCAGGGAGCTAAACTCTCCATTGAATTCAACAGTGGATTATATGAACAGTAATTTCTACATATACTGGCTTTGTTTACACTTTCATTATACCTCTACTGCATTATCTGATGCCTTCATACAGTTTTCAATCTTATAGCCACTTTAATCTCCTCCTGCACTCAGCATATCTGAGTGAGTTTGTTGGCATAAGGGAATTTTGAAGGTTATATTACAGTACATGAATCAACGGAAAATGAAATGCACTGGAGACATGATCAGCCAGTTTTAATTCATTGCAGAAAGTTATAGATACCAAAATGCATTTAATGTAATCTGATCTCTTTATTCAGTCCTGAATTTACGAGCAATTCACCAGGAGTCAAATGACAACTTTGTTTTAAAAATAGTAGTCTATATTGAATGCCATTTTAATATATCTCTGACATATTTACATTTAAAGAGTAGGGAAAAGTGGAATCTTTGAACATAAATTTTTCTTTTCACAGAAAAGAAAAGCCCAAGAAAGATGATACTTTTGTTCATTGTAACATTATCTGTCATTATAACATAGGTCAGTTTGGTGATAACAGTTAAATAAATCCAGCTCATTGGTACAGCTGGTAAACAGATTAGAAGCCCCCAAGATTACTGAGCATTTCATTTTAAGGAGGAGGCAAATAGTGTCATTGTGTTCAGCTCTATAAAATACATTTATATCAGCAATCCTGTTCTTTGCCTGGAATGATCAAATGGTCATGGTTCAGACTGGTCAACAAGATGTGATATGAACAGTGGGTCCCAGACAATTTCCCCAACAGCAACATGAATAGATGGTTAATATCAGTCAACTGCTGTTTGGTTTCAAGACATGATCTTTCATTCTGGGTTCTCAATTCTTTTACATAATACCGACCCCATCAAAATCACTGGTCTTTCCCGGGAAGAAATAAGGGAACCCCTTCTCACTCATGTTTGAGAAAAGTAGCCTTTTCTTCTCACACACCATAGTATAGGCTTTAGGTTGAAGGACAAATGTGGAAATTGTACTTGCTGTTTTCATTTCTACATAAAAAAATTCGCAATCTTTTCCAAATAAATTTTCCATTTTGTATCTTTGGAATCTCCTAAGTGGTCACGTAGAAAAACCATGTAATTTTATTGCATCAAAGGAAATAGCATAATTTGTGTAATATATCGATAGCATTTTAACTTCTTAAAGGTGGAAACTATTATTATTATAAAGATAATATACACAAGATACAAGTGCATTTTATATATTCATCTGTTATAATTGTTTTAATGCACTTTTTTTTGCTATGTATAGGAAATAATATTAGAGTTTTTACCACAAATCTTATAGAATAAGAGTAATATTTGAATGGAGGATGTTCTAAATGGTTGGTCTAATAGATCAATTTGTAATTACAACTGAATTCTATGTTTCTATAGAATCACAATATCCATGGCAAACATTTTCCTAATGAGGATCAAATTTATTATTTAATAATATATATTTCCATTCTAATATTCCAAACCAAAAAGAAACCGTTTTCAAATACCCTTATTTATCTGGTTCACTTAACTCTGGCAAAATAATGAAGTATGTGCTGAATTTCGTAACATTTCTATTAAAAGAGATCATAGGGATGTAGGTGAAAAGGAGATAAAGTATTGGCAGGGGAAACATTTATTTTCAGAATCAATGGCCAGAGGTCCTAAAATTTTTGGTTTACAGAAATCAAGGGTAAAAATAATTTATCAAAAGCACCCACTGACAGTTTGTCCAAATAAAAGTATGCCCCACCCCAGAGGGAAAACTGGATCCTCTAATTCAGTTTAACTGTAAGAAAAGATTTCTACAATTTTTTGGAAATTGTGATTTTTTTTCATAGTCCAACAAACCTTAGTGTTTGAAAATAGTTCTTAATATACAGATCAAATATTCTATTGCTTGATTTCAACCAGTTATTTCCAATTATTCATCCTCTGCTACATTTCTTCTGTTAATTCCTTCTAAAAACTTGTCTGGTTATATCCCCTCTCAGTTTCCAGCCACTCTAGCTACATTTATTTCGTTATAATTTAATTCCTCTAATCAAAGGTATTTATTTCAAACTGATGGGGGAGGGGTTAAAACTGTGAAGTGATAGTGTTTGAATTATGCTCTTAACAATGGCATGAATAAAGAGTTTTTTAGTCTGCAACACCCAATTTCTGATGATATTGCCCAATTGAAGATATCCATGGAAATCATATATTGAGAATTTTCAGCATGAACAACTTGTTGTCTTTCCTCCCTTTGAATATCTATATACTTTTGATTTTTCAGGATAAATTTCAAAAGATCTTTGCTGCCTCTTCATGTGCAACTTTTCATGATGATGTCAGTTTTGTCAACGGCAATGAGAATTGCACATTATCTGTTTTTGTTCCTCTGAGCTGCTACTTTTCACAATCCTTGCAACTATTTCAAATATATTTAAATTACAAAAGTGAGCATTAGTAACACGGATGAAACCGGAGGACACTATGTCAGGGGCATTGGGTCAGGCACAGGAAACAAATACCCCATGTTATCACTTACGTGTGGAAGCTAAAAAGTTGGTCTTAGAAGTAGAGAAAAATGGTGAGTACCTGGGATGGCTATGGTGGACAAGCGATGGAGAGAGAATGGTTAGCAGGTAAAGGGTGCAGCTGGGTAAGAGGAATAACTTAGTATTCCGTACCACAACAGAAAAACTATGGTTGATAACAATTAATTGAATATATCAAGATAGGTGGTAGAGAGGAATTTGAATGTTCTCAGTACAAAGAAATAATAACATAGCTGAGATGATAGATAGGCCCATTACCCTACTATGATCATTACCTTTGTAAATATGTACTGAAATGTTGCATGACACTACAAGAATTTGTTCAATTGCTATGTGTCAATTAAAAATGCATTTTAAAAAGTGAGCCTGAGGTTGCTGGGGCTGTGGCTCAGCGCTGGAGTGCTTGCCTAGGACGTGTGGATTCCATCCTCAACACCGCAGAAAAATAAATAAGTAAAATAAAGATTAAAAAAAGTGAGTCTGAGAAAAATATAATATACTTAATAGAGAATGGAAATATTAATACCGCCTTTGAGTAGGCAATCTTACAATAATGATAATGAATGATTTACATTGGTGTTATGCTGTGTTAATAGAACCTTGGGATGAAATGGTGAAAATGGCATTTTACTTTAAAGTTGACATTCTTTTACTTTAGGTAAGAAGAATGGTGGTGTGGCTAGGATAAAGGGGGTGACTGAGGGCAGTTTAGGTTTGTGAGGAGGGATGATGAGGATGAAGACTTCAACAATAGGGGAAGTCAATATGCCCTTTGTTTAGGAATGAGTGCTCAGAATATCAGTGTTAGTGTTCATAGAGAATGAGGGACCCTGGGGTCCATTACACCATCCCAGATCCCAAGTCAACATCTCTCACCTGCCCAATATCTGTCATTGTTCTTTCCCCCTTTTCAGCAATTTCTTCTCCATATCTGTCCTTGGAGTTAGAAGAACTGTAGTCCCTTAAAAGCTAAGAAAATTCAAATTTTAAAATTTTAGCAGATTATCAGACTAAAATTTCAAGTATCAGAGAACCATCCTTGAGCAAGATGTTTTTGTATAGATGATGGCAAAGATAATTCTGGGTTTCTTGGGGAGGGTGTTGTATTAGCTAGAATTCTCTGGAGAAACAGAATCAATAGTCTGTCTATCTATCTAACTATCTATCTATCAATCTATCTATCCATCCATCCATCCATCCTGAGGTATTTGCTTAGTATTATGGAGGATGAGAAATCCGATGATCTGCCTTCTTCATATTGAAGTCCCAGGAAAATTGTTATAGTTTCAATCTAAACCCAAAGGCCTGACAAATGGGAGTGCTGATGTTCCAGGACGGGAGAAAATGAGTGCTACAGCTCAAGCAGAGGGCAATCCACCCATTCTCTGCCTTTTTGTTCTTTTTAGTCCCTCAGTGGATTACATGATGAGTATTCACATTTTTGAGGGTGATCTTCTTCACTCAGTCTACTAGTACAAATGTTCATCACTCTTGGAGACACACTCAAAGACATACATAGGAAAAATGTTTTAGCAGCTTTCTTGGTATCCCTTAACCCGTCAAATTGACATATAAATTTAACCATCACATGAGATTAATTCACCCAATCCATTCAAGTTTCAATTGTCTTTCAAATGTCCAAAATTATCTAGATAGAACAATGGAATGATTTGCAATCATCGGAAATGTGATAGGCATGAAACTAGTTGAGACAATTGGCAAATATGGATTATTGTACATTGTTTCCCCAACAGTGTTACTACTGGAAAATTTTCAACTTGGTAGAAAATGGTTGTAAGAAAAACAAACAAACAAAAACCAGGAGGATCAACTTTTTTGAAGGATCAGCCATTCTCTTGTCCTGTGCTTTCTACATCAATGGTATACATGTATTATGACACCCCTTAAATTTGTTTCTCAGGCTATTATTTATATTTCTTCTTAAACATCATGGATCTGCTTACCAGAAAGAATACTAAAATGGTGGTATTTTAACGAAACAATAGTTAATTTATGGGACTCATAAAAGAATGAATATTATAAATATTACAAATGTTAGCACACACTTGGGTACTCACACCACACTTTGAAATTTGTTTTTGCAAATTGAATATAATCAATCAATCACTGTTCTATTATGTTCATATTAGTTTAAATATAACTCTTGAGTTTTGAAATTTGCTGTCAAACTATATTTCCAATGCTATCTAAGAATGCAAAAAAAGAGGAAAAGACAGAAAAGAAAAGAAAGCACTGATAGAAAAGTCTAAATAGAAAGTAAAAACAATGTTGATGCTGAGGTTAAGGGGCAATGGTGCAGAAAGGAAAGCCGGGATACAAAATTATGCATGTTAATTTATAATGCAACTTCATTCATCCATTTGAGGTAATGCAAATACATGATAAAAGTAAAATGACCAAATCCAATTATATGCATCAATTCTATCTTCTGAGCAATTATCATTCTTTTGTAAACTGCAATTTTGGCCACTTGTGTGTACCAACCCTTAATTGGCAGTACTTCTCTAGTTTTCTAGCATTTTGTAATGAGATATTTAGCACACAACACTGCTGCTGCCAGCTATTTACATTGCACAATTGAATTATCAAACAGACATTAAAAAAATCCTGGGAGGCAGCCACTTGCAGCATTCTTAAGTATTTTTCTCTTTTATTTAGTATTTACATATGGCAGGTTGTTGTCAGAGTATGTGCTGATCTTAAGGTCACAAGCTATGGCTGCTACCTTCCTTTATGTGTTATAATCTCATCAAGAATCAGAGACCTGGAATTCTAGCAACTCAAGAGGCTGAGACAGGTGAATTCCAAGTTTGAAGTCAGCCTTGGCAACTCAGCAAGACATTGTCTCAAAATGAAAGAGAAAAATTTTAAAAGGGTTGAAAACATTCAATCCATGTCCCTGGATTGAATCCTTAACACCTAAAAAAAATTATAGAGAGATCTCTCCTTTATTAAATGATACTGATACAGTATGATTATTTCATTGGCTATTTAGGTATTATTAAAATTCTCTATTATCTCAGAATATAATTCTTTTTTTTTAAAGAGAGAGTGAGAGAGGAGAGAGAGAGAGAATTTTTAATATTTATTTTTTAGTTCTCGGCGGACACAACATCTTTGTTGGTATGTGGTGCTGAGGATCGAACCCGTGCCGCACGCATGGCAGACGAGCGCGCTACCGCTTGAGCAACATCCCCAGCCCCTCAGAATATAATTCTTAATACACAATAGGAATATAAACTGGTCATTATATACAAACAAATCTTTCAAAAAAATTCTGTATGTGCTTCTGAAAGTCTTTAGTCATGAATGAGTTTTTCCATATTATCAAGTCAGCAGATTGGTGACAATACCTAGAGTTGATTAATGTCATTAGTAACCCAGGGTGGCTATGGCTTGGAAGGCATTGTTTCAAACTTTCTTTAAAAAGGAAACCATTACATCTGTTCTCAAAGATGGCTCCTGGCTTTCTAAGTGTGACCTTCAGGGGCATTTTAAGTGCTGATGGCTAATAAAAGAGATAGTCCTAGACTTGGATTCAGGGATTCTCCTGTGTCTCTTCTCCTCACTAGGTATGCCATTAATTTGCATTGCCTAGAGTTTAAGTTCCTTATCTGCTCAATGAAAACACTGAATCCAATTTGTACAATGCCTTCAAATCTCAAGTTTTCTTAACTGCCAATGCTCTGTTAGTTGTGATTTTTTCCTAGCATTTCCTTGCTCATAGTTATATGCAACTATTATTATGAGATCTGTTTTTCTGATTGTCCAGTGTTGTGTTTGTTGCCTTTTTAAGTGGATATTTTAAAAGTCTAAATATGAACTATTTTAGAATGAATAGTTTCTTCTCATTTCTTTAGTTGTTTTCCATATTTTGTTCCCTATTAATTTTGGATTACTAAATAGAAAACACATTTTTTAAAAGTTCTTCTGTTTCCTCATCTCTCCCTGTTGGGCATACGTTATTTTATAATTATGTTGTGTGCATATGCTAATGTGGCATAATCAATCCCACTACTATCTATAATTATAATGCACCAATAAATTTTAAAAAGAACATGTGCACAAATACACACAAGAATTGGAACTTGTTGGCTTGTTTGTCTAATGTTTCATTTTACCCATGGACAGCACATGGGAAGGGCAAAAGTAATTGGAAAGAAAGAGATGATGGCACAGACCAAAAGAATAGGGGACCAGCCCATAGCTTCCTGTTTGCCATAACCAAAGTATGTGAGTTCCCTATGTACCAGGGGCATTATGGAGGTCCATCGGCTGGGTCAAATGTCTCAAAAAGAGGATGAGTGGATGAGGGGAGGATGAGAGAAGGAACTAGAAGATTTTGAAGACATTAAAGTGGAGCTACTTGGTTCCTGAGCATGGAGATTTTACAATAGCCAGAAGAAGAGAGACAGGCAACCTGAGAGACGTCAATGGAATCAGACCTTGAAAATGATGGGTGGAGGACGTGTCTTAAAGTATGTGTCTGAGGGCACATCATGAACACCTTCCAATCCCTAAAACAATGTCAAAGAAGAGAAAAAATAATAAAGGCCAAGTTGCCCTTTTCATCTCTGGATTTCTGTAACCACAAAACTGGGCTCTGGTGGGTAAATGAGTATCTTGAAATGTAGAATTTAAAATCAGAGAATAAGTAAAAATGAAGAATTACAACTTCCATAATCGGAAGTGTTCAAGAGATTTTGAAATGTGCTGAAGTTGTGATTTAGTATATTCCTGTAGGATAGGGCAATTTGACTTAGTGCAAAGGGGGAATGATTTGAGAAAAAAAAATCTATCGTATTTGCACACCACCAATCTGGGAAATTGAAGAAACCAATTAATAATTACTTATCACATTGCTTGATATTTTTCTACTTATGTTTATTTTCCCCTCATGCAGATATTTGCATTCTTGGTTCCTTGTATTTCATACATTCTCAAAGATATTTGTTGAATGAATGAGGGAATATATACTAGAACAAGTCAGTGTTCAAGTCAGTATATGAAGTTTGATGTGAGGGACACAAAAAAGGAGAAGAAAGGGTAATAAATAATAATCTGCATTCACCAGCTGCTATTCAATTACTGAGGAATGTGTATTCATGCCTAAAAATGAAATTCATAAGCAGTTATCTTTCTATACTTCATCCTACTCTCCTTTCCTTCTGGGACCCAGTTTCTTTTAATTTAAAATCTCTCTTTCCCTCTACAAAAGACAGGACTGCCACTGTGCTTCAGACTGTCCATTGCATTTCTTGGTCATAGTCAACTAACTGGTTAGTTCTGTGGGCTACTACTGTTTAACTGCTATGAAAGTGACTATGTGAAACTTTGAACTGAAAGAGGCCATCACTTTTTCTGAGTTGTCATTTTTTTTTCCTCCACATTTCTTAACACACTGCTCTCCAATCATCTGACAAAACCCATTTCAGGTTTTGAAAGTGCAAACATGTATTTTTCATGGTTTCAGAACCCATGTCTGTGTGGGGCTCTTTTGGAAGATTCAGTGCACGCTACTTTCCTTCTTTAAGAAATCGTCATTTCCATTGCTTTCTCCTTTAGAGCTGCAAACCAATACTGCCATCCACTGTTCCTTTGAATAATCTTTTTCCCCACAGTTTTCACCAAGATGTTTGATGAAAAACCTGACAACAAAATTAGGTTCTTTGAAAGGATGGGGGAATCTTAATTCTAAGTGTTGCAGCAGAAATCATAAAGAAATCAAACATCGAGACTTAGCTTCTTTTTCCAAATGCCCCGATGGAGAAAATGCTTTCAAAATGTAACCAAGCAAAAGAACAGTCTGTAGACACAACTTCTTCCTGGATGTTCCAGGAAGTAAACACAATCACCTAGTTTTCCTTCATCTCTGTTTAACTTTGCTTCATAGAGCTCCCGAAGCTCAGGGTCATATCTCATCCCAGTCACATCCTAGTGCTTCAAGA